GGCTGCAGCAGCACAGAAGGGCAGAGGAGACAGAATACTCCCCTTTTCTCTTCTCTCAACCCCACCTCCAAGTGGCCTCCTCCCTCTTCCTGTCTGCCTCTCTCCTGCAGGCTGCTCCCAATCCCAGCACAAAGCATCCAGCTAAGCAAGTTCCTACTTGATCCAATTAGAGGGCATGTCAGCGAATCACAGGCCGTCAAAACTGTGGTAGCCGCCCACCGTCCAGCACCACTCCCCATTGATTATGCTGATACTGAAGGGTGTGTTTTTTGTCAAGGGGAAGGAGCCGGGGAAGCAGACATATGATCCTCCCCGAGAGGATGAAGCCTTTGTGCTCTGCTCTCCTGCATTCATTAGTGTAATAACAGGGCAAGTGCATTGGCAGGAAGTATAGATACACACAGGTACAATACATTATAAACAAAGAAATTAATCACAGCTAAGTTTCATTTTCAGTTTATCAGACGGTGTATTTCATGCTGGGTCATTGTCAAACTATCATGGCTTACATGAGAAAATAAACATTAATATACTTAAAATAACTACATTTAAATCAGGAAAAGAAGAAGAAAATACACACGTCATTAATACATCTTACCACCAGGTCGTTATGCATGTTTAGTGGTTTTTAACTTACCTATTTCCCCCCTCTTTCATCAAAGATATAAACTTGGTTTCTGAATCTCATGGTTATTTACTAGATGCTTCCATTGTGAGTTAATTAAGTTATTATCTTTGAGCCAATCCCTCTCACTGTAATGGCTTTCTGTGACTCTTGAACTGAACACAGCCCATAGTAATCAAGAAGATTGCTTCTTAACACAAGATAACGGTAGGAGTAAGTGTTAAATGTGATCTGATTTGGTTCAAATGCTCAACAGAGGAGAACATTTTGCAAGCTTTGTAAAGTGTAAATATCCACATTGACATCTCGTTGCACTGTCATCGCTACTACCTCTGCTTTTACCACTATTCTTTATTTAAATGTGTCTATTTGTGTACTGCAGTGAGAGTTGCCAAAGAAATGTCGTTGTACTTTGTATGATGACAATAACGATATATTCTATTCTCTTTTGAATGTATTCTGAATACCAATAAGTAAAATTAACAAAATTGGAAAACATTCGTTAATCACACTTTATTTTATATCCAATTTGTTAAATACACAGTAAAATGGGTGTATTGATCATAAAACTAACATTTCCCAAGTGTGACTGAAAGCCCCCAAACCACCAATAAAACTATTAGCTCCCCAACCCCCTACCACCATGCGGGCTAATAGGCTAGCAGGAAAATCCAGATTCCTGGTGAGGATTAAATAAGATGAAGACAGTCGCAGAGGTCAGGTCAGCGCCACACTGAACACTGACACTGTGGTGACCCTCTCCAATCCCCGGACAGAATTAATACCAGTAATGGTATCTGTGGGAGAGCACTTCCTGTCAGTCTGCTGAATTAGAGACCTGCATATTGATCCGCCCCTCAGCATTTTCACCCTTCATGGGGGGCCAAAGACTGACAAAGGAAATAGATAAATAAATAAATCAATAGGGGAGAAAACAAATAGAAAATGTGTTCAAGATATTAGTTTAAATTAAGTATGTATTCATTTGTTTATGTCCACATGGATTCAGTTTCCTTAGCTCTCATTGGATTATCAGGCTGGGAAAAAAGAAGATATTTTGAAATGTCATTGACGGCAAACTCACATCCTGTAAGCCACCATTGTTGTTCCACTGATCAGCCAATGGGAGCCAAATACTGACAAAAGCAATAGATAAATAAATAAATCAATAGGGAAATAATGAATAGAAAATGTGTTTAGGAAGATAGGATCAAGATGCAATCAATATATATTTTAAAGGTCACCTATCATGCTATTTTTAGGCAATAGCATAGGTCTCAGATCTATACAAATATATAAAAGACATGTCTATGAAGTGTTTTGCTCAAAATACCAAACAGATCACCCATTCTAGCCATGCCTCATATCCCTCTATTTCAAAAGTGCTGATTTGGGTATAAAGCTTTAAAAAAAAGTAGGAAATTGATTAAAAAAAAAGGAGGGGTCTGAGCTCATACGGGACCCGGCAGCTACTGTCTAAACTAAATACTGCCGTGATGAAACGCCATATCATGGATTATCAAGGATTCTCTCTGAAACAGTATGGAGCTCAAAGGCTTTCTCTCTTGCCGGTTATACCACAAGGTGAGTTCCTTTTTATTTCCTGCTTCTTCACACACATGCTCTCCAGTACAGGTTAGCTCTGATTGTTAGCGATGCTAATATAAACACCGACCATATTACGTCCAAAACAGTCGGGCATTGTTTCTGATATTAACGTTTCTGATAGGGCCATGGGTCCACATTTCAGATATTACGTCATATCGGACGCAAATCTGGATCAGCTCCGTTGTTCCCCCGTTTTTAGAGATTTGGGTACGGAGGAAAAGAGAGAGGGTTTTATTTTCTGACGCTGCGTGAGTTCCCTAACACATCGGGGACACATACTTATGTATAAAAGACATCAACTGAAGTGCATTTTGCATGATAGGTGGTCCCCTTTAAAGTAAGTATTTATTCATTTGTTCATGTCCACATGGATTTATGGTTTACTCGTGTTCTCATTGGATTATCAGGCTGTGTTTTACAAAAAACTCACATCCTGTACACACTACCATTGTTGTTCCTCACACACTGATCAGCCAATGGGAGCCAAATATACTGACAAAAGCAATAGATAAATAAATAAATAGTGAAAGAATAAATGGAAAATGTGCTTAGAAAGATAGGATCAAGATGCAATAAATATATATTTTTAATGAAGTGTGTATTCATTTGTTTATGTCCACATGGATTTGGTTTCCTTAGGCTCTTGATGGATTATCAGTCTGGGAAAGAAGTATGTATTTCTAAATGTAATTGCCAAATAACTCACATCCTGTACGCCACCATTGTTGTTCCTCACACACTAATCAGCCAATGGGAGCCAGTGGAGAGCATCCCTTATTTTTGAACAGGAGATGCAAAAAAATCGCAATAAAAGTGAAAAATGATATAAAAAAGTAGGAAAAAAAAACACATTTCAAAATAAATGTGGAAATATTTAAATTAGTACTTGTGGAAACATACGAGTGAATGCATAAAAACTTCATATTCTTAATTTATTTATCTATTTTTTGCATGCAAACACAATTTTTTAGCTAATTTATTTATTTTTTGGGACACCTTTGGGACTCCGTAAGCATTGCTTTGTTTAAGAGGAATCACTCACCACAAGTGCAGTGATTACGTGCTCAAGCAGAGGGAGGTGGTGCTCAATAGTTGGAAAGATGAATGCACCAGAGGAGGAGAGCTTCATAAAATGGAAGTATGGAGGTGTGTTCGAAAACAAAGCTAAATCAAAAGGCAGCACAGATAGACATTTCATTTTAAAAGACATTAACTGAATAGACGTTGGTTTCCTCAGAGCAGCACAAATTAGAGCCGGTTGAAAATGTTTTACTTGCTGATATTTTTGTTATATTGGTTGCCTGATTTGATTTGTGTAATATTTCACTTACATCTCCAAATTCTAATTCTGAAGTACGGTGGTCGACAGGTGGAAAGATGTTTCAATGTCCCAAAACACTGCAGTTTCTAAATCGATGCAATTATGGAAAACACAAATGTGCCAAAACACATGAAAATGAAGAACCAGGTAAACATTAGTTAATAGTAATTGTAACGGATTACATTTCTAACATAACCCACCCAACCACTGCATATTGAAGTGTTAGAACATTAGAGGGTTTTTGGGGGCAACCATGAAGGACTGGTCGTCTCACAGGAGGGGATGTGATGGTTCAGTGGAGACTGGTCCCTTTGTTCTCATGAGCTGAGGGACAGAGGCTTAAATCCCACACTGACACTATGTGTAAATAATGCATAATGACTATTTTATGATCACTTAAAGGATAATGGCAGACGCTACCATCTTCCCAGATATGAGCTATTAACTAAATTCTGCTTATTTTCAGGTGTATATCAGTATGTAGTGTCTCTACTTTAAAGAGTCCTCTCCTGCTGATGTTCAGGTGTATATCAGTATGTAGTGTCTCTACTTTAAAGAGTCCTTTCCTGCTGATGTTCAGGTGTATATCAGTATGTAGTGTCTCTACTTTAAAGAGTCCTTTCCTGCTGATGTTCAGGTGTATATCAGTATGTAGTGTCTCTACTTTAAAGAGTCCTCTCCTGCTGATGTTCAGGAGAGGACTCTTTAAAGTAGAGACACTACATACTGATATACACCTGAACATCAGCAGGAAAGGACTCTTTAAAGTAGAGACACTACNTTGAAGCCATTGAAGCAATCGAGGAGACGACTGATGAGGACGGAGAAGGTAAACCTGCGGTCCATCTCCCACCCACATACTGTCAGGGCTTCCTCCAGAAACACTTCATACACACAACATCCCACACAACATCCCACACATTAACAATAACTCCGTCAAGCCACATTTCACAGGACAACTTCACGACAAATTGAAAACACTGCAAGGTCAAGTGCTGCTTACAAGCTGCATGATACAAGACTTCATTGTTTTTTGGTTTGGCTTCTAAATGGCCTCCATCTGGTTTTAAAAAAAGTGTTGCATGCACGAGAACAAGAAAGAGAACAGCATCAACATGAAATATGCATCCTGAAGCCTCAGTTCCTCGTGATATGTCTGAGGTAATCATTGCTCACTACTCAAAAGCTTCGGTACGAGAGAGCTATTTGCAGTACTAACACACTTTATTTTTATCTTTTTACATGCACATTTTTGTATGAACTAGCAGGGGGGTTGACTTTTTTTAAACACTGTTTGTTGAGAATTGTATTCTTCACAAAGGTAGGTAAAACTCTGTGTTTATTTTTTATTTTTTATGTGTTTGGAGACTTTCTCAGGCTTTTCCCAAACGGAGGAAATCTGAGGGAAAGTAATAAAAATGCAGCAGCTTCTACTTTGCTATATCAATAATGTTAGTTGCAGAGATAACTGAACATCATTAACTGGTAGTATGCTACACTGGGTAAAAAAAACAAACAAAGAAAATCACTATTGAAATATGCTTCTTTGTTCTTAATTGCGATCAATTCACTGCCTGTTAAATCCCAACAGCATTTGATCTTGGGGGAAATATACAGTTTAACAAGACATGATTTAAAAAAAATGTGATTCTGATCCATTTATATATAGTTTTTTGTTATCCGTGGGTTGCTTTATCAATAATGTTATTTGCAAAGATAACAGAATATCATAAACTGCTACACTGGGTAAAGAGAGAGAAACAAAGAAAATCACTAAATGATTATTGAAATATTCTTCTTTGTTCTTAATTGCGATCGATTCACTGCCTGTTAAATCCCAAAAGCCTTTGATACTGTATATCTTGGGGATAATATGAAGTTTAACAAGACATGATTTAAAAAAATGCTCCAAGACATTACAAGGTGATTCTGATCCATGTACGTGTCCTTTTTTTTATTTATAGCTATCCGTGGGTTCTCCCCCCAGCACAAGATCGCCAGCTTTGCAGAGGCCAAGGGCTTGGACCGCATCAACGAGCGCATGCCGCCTCGCAAGGACGGGGTGAACCACGTGGGTCACTCAATGGGAAAGATGAATATGTCAGAGGCAAACGGCACGGATGACAACAGCGACATCCAGTGATGTGCTGTCTGAGCCTCAGAACAATGCTGCTGTTCGCTGTGCAGCAAGACATTGCCAAAAGGGGAATTCAGGCCTCAGAACATAGAAATAAACCAGGCCTACAGACAGAACATGAAAATCTGCAGCAAAACTTAAACGGGCGAAAAAGGTCATTTCTTTCATGGCAGTATGTCATCGCACAGTTGGGGGAGGGGGGGGTTCAGCGGAGGGCAAGGGTAAGGGAGGCCACAAGGCTGCAGCTGGGTTGAAAACGGATCGGTTGAAAGTTGTTTCTGCCTGTTGTTCCCTTTCTCAGTTCAATTAAAGACTGACTTGTTGGGGGTTGTGTTGTTCTGAGTGCTGACAAACGTCTGCTCCTTCATTACAGAGCCTGGCAGAAGACATAATTGCAGTATCCATGCCACACAAATCATGTTACTGTATCATAAAGTGTTTATTATGAATCACTCACAAATTCATGTTTTGCTAGTATTAACACCACTTTGTGAGAAGGAAAGATAAAAGAAAGAATATCAATGTGAACCTCTTTAAAAAACCTGCAGTGCAAGCTTACCAGTTAAACTAAACTTATTGATTTACCTTGTAGTACGACGCGGTCATCCTGCAGGGGGAAGAAGACTCACAAAGCCACTGCTCCTTGTGTACACTACAGTCAAATCCAGCACTGCTCCTTTCCTCACCTCCCTCATTATCAGTCATCTCCTAGCAAGAAGTCACTTGGAGGGGACGAGGGAAAAGGGAGGGGATGAAAGGAGCATTTGGAGAAAGTAGTTCCACTTGGAAACACCAAGATCTGGAAATGCCCCCAAAAAGGAGCACACTATCCCATTTAAGGATACAATTTCATCTACGTCCATAGGGGGAATCTCAAAGGGTTTTATTTTTATCAAGACCATCCTTAAATAGTTTTCTTCCGCTCCATTAAAGTAGTTCTCCTGAGAGATGCATGGCATTTGATCAAGCTAATACCTCGCACACCTTCTGGAAAGTATACACTCGAGCATCCTCCACTGAAGGAGCCTTTCTCTCATCTCTGCATTGCTATGACAACGAAGTGGCTTTAACACCTGTTTCTGGACCACAGAGAGGAAAGGAGAAGAATTTATGTTGAACTTTGGGGAAAACCCTGCTGTCACACACTACCTGATTATGTCTCACCTGCTTGTTGCTATGAGAACGTAAAAGATTACGTGCATCCGAATCAAGTATACGTTAGCGCCCTTTGAGTTATTGCACTTTCTGCTGTGCTGCCAATTCAATGAGATTTCATGCTTAAGAGCTATAAAGTAATATATCAGAGTGAGAAGGAAATTCTACAAATTTGTGAATGCATTCATGCTTTGTTTAAAGATCATATAACTACCCATGTTATTTGGAATAAGCTAATTAGATCCATCTGGACAAATGCATCTTAAGGATTTGAAGAATGTATCCTGACCGAAATGTCGTTTTTTGTTCACTAAAATGTAGCTTAGATGAATTTAAAGTTGTCAGAAGTACGTCCTTCATGACTATTTAGCAGTAGAGACAAGGCTTTTGGTTAACAATCCACCCACGTCGAAATGTGTTATATCGTTTTTTTATTTCTCAATTATCTTTTTCTTATCTAATCTAATTTAACTGTGCAGTACAGGGGGGAAATGGGTACACCTACACTTGAGATTGAAATAAAATAACTTTTCCCGTGTCCAAATAACTGATCGAGGAAGAGAAAAGAAACAATTCAAACAGGAAACATTCTGGTTCTTTCAAAATAAAAGAATGGCGAAAGTTTTGAAGCCCAAAAAAGTGTGCAACATGAATTTCTACAATTTCCTTTCATCCATTAATATATTTTCTAATTTCTATGTCATCTTTCTATTTAATGATAAAGGTATGTGAATTAAGGATGGACAAAAAGTGATTTTAAACACAGCATCTATGGTACGGAACGCATCAATGCATGCAATTAAGTTCCTAATTGTTATGTGAGATTATAATTGTGATAGTTGTGTTTCAAATAGTGAACTTGAATTATTTTTATTTTTTATTTACATTTGTAGTTTGATTTGTCTTGTTTTATACATTTTATAAATAGGCTTCCTTTTGATTGTTTCATTTTTTTCATTCTGTTATTTATTACCACTGCTTTTAATTTTTATATTGATTTATTGTATGCAGAGATGCCCTTCTAAGGTTTGAATCCTTGTGTTTATTTTTATTTTTTTGGTTGTACTGATGTACAGAAAATGTTCAATAGTGTGAATGAATATAATCTCAGTGAAAAGCAACTTTCAGGCTGCCTAAGCATGATAGCATGGTTTTCAAATGTAAATGAATCGGACTCAAAGAAAATCGTGTGTCGCACTTACGTTAAACAGGAAACATTGTACTCTGGTTATATTTACTGCTGATATTATTATTGTTACAATTTAGCTTATGGTTATTTTCCTTCCTCTGTTTCTGGTTCTTGTATGGTCTACATGCATATTTCAACAAACAAATATAATGGATTTTATCTTGCAACATTTTTTATTACCTATGGAAATATGTTTTGGCATTTGACTTCCTAAATGATACACACATTGTAAGCATGCCCTATGGGACGAAATCACATTTTTTTACTCTTGAATAAAATATGCATGAACAAAAATGTGTTGAATGGTTTCTAATTTACTGATGCAATTTGTACTTCTCCGAATCTTAAATTATGTCAATTGTGAACCAAGCAAGAATATTTACACTTTAAATTGACTTGTGCATCAGTATCTTAAATGTAATATAATAACCTAGACTGCCTTTCATGTCAATCACCAGTTTTTCAGAGATATCCATTAGCTAAATATGCAGTTTTGTTGGTTGATTGTAGCAGTTAATTAAACGTTTAAAAATATCCATTACATCTCTGTTGTCCCATGACAATCAAAGGCAGGCAATAAGCCACTGAATGGATAAATAAATACATAAAACACCAATAATAATAATCTTAGGTCTGTTTTGTGTATTATATTCCATGCACCACAACCAATGAAAGACCTTGAATGCTGCATCAGCATCAGCTACACCTGCTAATGTTACTCAACTCTCTGGGTTTTTTAAACCAAGTACCGTTAGTTAATAGATGGGTGAAGCGTGAAGTAGCGGTATATAAACACTATATGTCCTGCTATACTATATTATTAACTGATAACCAAGTAAATTACATTAAAAGTCAATATAAGGGCGGATTTATACAGATTTCAGAGTTTACGCCACAGGATATGACGTCTTGCCTCCACCTCTTGTCCATCACAGCTCAGTGGGTCCAGAGATACATTTAACAGGGTGGCCTGCTAAACACCGCTTAATAAAAACAGACAGCAAAACAGTGCATTTGTTACCTTTATCTTTTAAAATAATGGCCCAGCTGCAGGCCTGTTTGCAGCCGAACAACAGCCGTCTGCAGACCGGATAGTGCGGAGGACTTCTGAGTGACTGCACCTCTTACGCAGCTGCCTGACACCAAAGCTAATCGGCTATCTCTCGTTAGCTGCAGCGGGTCGCTTTACCATATGATATTGACTCTCGGTGCCCAGGGACAGACCTCTAGAGACAGCGATTGATTCAGCAGAATAATACGTTGCAATGGACAAAGCAGAAGCAGACCGGCTGATAGAGAAGGCGAAGCTGTGTTTACGGTCAGGACGGAAAGATCGGGCTCTGCAGCTGCTCTATGAAGCCCAGAATATTTACCCCAGCACCCGGGCCAGAGGTAAAATTAGCTGACGCACATTCTGCAATAGCACACTGACTAGCTAACATGGCTCAATGTGCACATTTACCCCGAGGATTAACTGTACAAACATTATTTAACATAATTCAAGATGGGTGCACTGAACTACTATTTTTAGAGGCTGTCTTGCTTCAATACATATTCCTTGTAGGCTGCCTGCTGAAATGCTCCCTCCCCCCTCTCTGTGAACACACTGTTGGGCAATGTTAAAATCTGACTGCGACTCTTGTTGTTTATCTTGCCTAATAGCTTTTCAGTAATGGCATCATAGCCAGCATATTAATGCTTTCGTATAATTCCTGGATCTCTTTGTACACAATGTGCATGGGGCAGTTAAATGCCAACTTGTTCCATTGGACAAGTTTTCCACTTGTGATGCAAGTAGGGAAAGGCTTTTGATATACAGTGCAAAGGAAATATGTATAAATGTATCCATTTGTATTTCTTCAAAAGCCGGAAATCAGTGGGGAAACATGTGCACATGCCTAAACACACAGTAGAAGGAACCAGGGATGGTTTGAATATGAAAATGATGTGAATAATTAAGTTGGCCACCACCAGATTGTAATCACTAAAGGGAGATGTTGGGAGCAATGTGACAACCCCCCTCCACCACTATGAAGAACAGTGTTTCATTAGAGTAACAGAAGTAGTCAAAGAGTATTTTGTTCTGGAGTCTTGTGGTGGCCAAATGTCTAACTCGGTTACTTAATGTTGGTTTTCCTTTTTAAACTGTCATCCATCTGTATACTGTACATTTTGGTTGGCAACCTGTATTTTCTGTTTTAAGCTTTCTCAGCCACCTTTCTCCATTCCCATTTGATCTGTCAGCTGACCTCAGACACTGTTTTTGTTCCATAGTGCTAATAGACGCCATAGTGAGGAATGGAGGCACCGCTGCTCCACAATCAAACCACGTTCCCCCGCCAGCCGGCTGGAGAGACGAGGAACTTAGAGACGAGGAACCAAGTCATGCGAGTGTTGATGACAAGAAAAGCTACAGCGAGGACCAGCGCCAGGGCGTTCTCAGGTAAACTGTGGCTCAAAGCGTTTTTTAGACAGACTGACCACATTAATTGTTCCTATCACTTTGGCTGTGTTACATACTATGAAGCACCTATGTGCCCTGTTTCAAAAGTTCTGTTACTTTAGATGAAATTAAGGAGCCACTCCCCACGCCCCTCTGAGAGATATTTGGTTAAAAAGAACACAATGGTGCTCTAGGAGGAAATTCAGGTGATAAGGGGGGGGGGGTACCTCCCTTGGTTGGTGATTGGCTAATGGTTACACAAGCCTCAAAATCGTTATGACATCATAAAGTGGCCAAAATCTGATCAGGTTTTTATAGAAATGGATCAGGAGAAAAAGTGAGAGAATATTTTTTCCTGAAACTTTCAGAGTCTCTCTACACAGAGGGGACACATGTTTATGTATAAAAGACATGAAAAAGTGGATTTTGCATAATAGGTGACCTTTAAAAAATGTTATTGCAGGATAAAGAATTGCAAGGACTTTTACGAAATTCTCGGTGTTACCAAAAATGCCAGTGATGAGGATTTGAAGAAGGCGTACAGGAAGCTGGCCCTCAAATTTCACCCCGACAAGAACTTTGCTCCAGGAGCTACGGATGCTTTCAAAGGTATGAGTTTTGACAGATGAGAAAGCAGGGATTGTTTTCTGTGAGATTGGTGACTATGACTTTGTATGTGCCTTTTTTGTAAGTATTTTGACCATGTTGCTGGACACTGACAGTACTTTGACATAATGAGACTTTATTTATCCCACAAAATATATTGTTTTTAATTTAGAGGTCAAGGTCAGTTCAAAAACGACTCCCTCGCTTGTAGTTGTTTACACATTACACTACAGGCAGGGCAGCAGCTTGAGGCTGGGTGACACAGTCTTACTGGTTGGTTTTATTTTAGAAAGTCTTTGTTAAGCTGTTTGTATGTATTCAGGGCTGCCGTTTTAAAACTGTGTGGGATTAGGGGATGGGGAGGAGAAAGATAAAAAACAGATGAGACACACAGATTCAACACCCTTAACATCAGGTCCCTCTGCAGAAATATGGCATAGATACATCTGTTCTTTCGTACACGATAAGTTTGGCATTATTCCTTGTTTTTTATAAATAAGGCTCTCTTTTTTTTTCACTTGTCTACTATGATAGCAAGCAATATTTTTTTCAAGTCACTTGTGAGGATGTTCATGATTATCCTAAGTGGTTTTTTATCCCGATCCACAATACAATCCTATTTTCTCCAAGCCCTACTCATAACTCAGTCAAACCTAAACACACATTCATGAAACACAATTTGAGATATTTATTTTTTTAGTAATAAACTCAGTAGTAATAGAGAACCGCAGTGACGCGTCCTAAAACCCGGAAGTAAGTTAGCATTTGTATCACTGCCGGTTCCTTCGACAAAAAGCAATGGGATTTCTCCATAGGGTTTTGGAAAATATCTGGAAATAAGGTCTGTGGTTGACACAAATTGAAGAGACGGATCACGTTTTGTTCTACGACATTAAACACATCAGCAGTGACCCCACTGGTGATTTTTGAAGAGGTTACGTGTGTGAAAAACGATGGTTGTTAACAAGTGGCTGAATAGGACTACAGAAGTTGTCCAGGCCGTTGTACGTCATTACACCGAACACGTGAACACTCCCACTAAGTTTGTTTGCCCTGTTCTGCTTGAAGGCAAGTACCGGTACCTGCCTCCTGCAAACTGTTAAAACAAACGCTTCAACTTGTACAATTTGAATCTGTAGTTTTGAATATGGATCTTAAGTTGGCGTGACGTTGAAGCAGCGACCCTGCTGTAGTTCCTTTATAGCATAACGTTAGCATTTTGCTTCTGGCGACTAGATTTATGATTAGAAAATTATAAAAGTAGGGTAGACATGTGGAGATTATCCGGCTGAACAAAACGTGATCCGTCTCTTAAATGTGTCTCAACCACAGACCTTATTTCCAGCTATTTTCCAAAATCCTATGGAGAAATTGCTTTGGTTTTAGGACGCGTCACTGCGGTTCTCTATTTTCTTTACATACTGTACATGGTTTCATTTAGCAAATCAGAACTGCCAATTAATAATTCAGCATCCATGAAGGTCAATGAGGTTCCCACCTGTAGCTAAATAATATCAGGGCAACATTATACTTCCGGTTTACTACTATGGGACATTAAACTAGGGGATTTCTCCCAGTTGTATTTTTTGTTTCTATGTTGCTTTGGGCTGAATGAAGGCTAAAACCAAATGTTTCCCTCTCTTTCCGACAGCAATAGGCAACGCATATGCAGTGCTGAGCAATCCAGAGAAGAGGCAGCAGTACGATCAATACGGAGATCAATCTGCTGCTTCCAGCGCACCCCAACCCTCCAGCCACAGTCGCCATGGATACTACCGAAGCTTCAACAGAGACTTCGAGGCCGACATTTCCCCCGAGGAACTCTTCAATATTTTCTTTGGGGGAAGATTTCCCACAGGTGAGAAGGAGGGAATGATTTTGAAAAAAAAAATGCCTGTAATTTTCATCCTAGGTACACTTCAACTATGAGAGACAAAATGAGAAAAAAAAATCCAGAAAATCACATTGTCTGATTTTTAAAGAATTTATTTGCAAATTATGGTGGAAAATAAGTATTTGGTCAATACAAACAAGATTTCTGGCTCTCACAGACCTGTTACTTCTTCTTTAAGAGCCTCCTCTGTCCTCCACTTGTTAACTGTATTAATGGCACCTGTTTGAACTCGTTATCAGTATAAAAGACACCTGTCCAAAACCTCAAACAGTCACACTCCAAACTCCACTATGGCCAAGACCAAAGAGCTGTCAAAGGACACCAGAAACAAAATTGTAGACCTGCACCAGGCTGGGAAGACTGCATCTGCAATAGGTAAGCAGCTTGGTGTGAAGAAATCAACTGTGGGAGCAATTATTAGAAAATGGAAGACATACAAGACCACTGATAATCTCCCTCGCTCTAGGGCTCCACGCAAGATCTCACCCCGTGGGGTCAAAATGATCACAAGAACGGTGAGCAAAAATCCCAGAACCACACGGGGGGACCTAGTCAATGACCTGCAGAGAGCTGGGACCAAAGTAACAAAGGCTACCATCAGTAACACACTACGCCGCCAGGGACTCAAATCCTGCAGTGCCAGACGTGTCATATGACATGTCAATGTCATATGGTCAGAATTAAACCAAAATATAACTTTTTGGTAAAAACTCTAAACCTCCAAACACTAGAAGAATGCATCCAAAGAACACCATACCTACTGTGAAACATGGGGGTGGAAACATCATGCTTTGGGGCTGTTTTTCTGCAAAGGGACCAGGACGACTGATCCGAGTAAAGGAAAGAATGAATGGGGCCATGTATCGTGAGATTTTGAGTGACAACCTCCTTCCATCAGCAAGGGCATTGAAGATGAAACGTGGCTGGGTCTTTCAGCATGACAATGATCCCAAACACACCGCCCGGGCAACGAAGGAGTGGCTTCGTAAGAAGGAATTCAAGGTCCTGGAGTGGCCTAGCCAGTCTCCAGATCTCAACCCCATAGCAAATCTTTGGAGGGAGTTGAAAGTCCGTGTTGCCCAGCGACAGCCCCAAAACATCACTGCTCTAGAGGAGATCTGCATGGAGGAATGGGCCAAAATACCAGCAACAGTGTGTGAAAACCTTGTGAAGACTTACAGAAAACGTTTGACCTCTGTCATTGCCAACAAAGGGTATATAACAAAGTATTGAGATTCACTTTTGTTATTGACCAAATACTTATTTTCCACCATAATTTGCAAATAAATTCTTTAAAGATCAGACAAAGTGATTTTCTGGATTTTTTTTTTTTCTCATTTTGTCTCATAGTTGAGGTATACCTAGGATGAAAATTACAGGCCTCTCTCATCTTTTTAAGTGGGAGAACTTGCACAATTGGTGGCTGACTAAATACTTTTTTGCCCCACTGTATGTATATATATATATTTTAAAACACATTTCACCTTTAACAAATATTTTGCCTCCTGCAATCTGAATAATACATTTTCGATGTTGATAACATTCAGATTCATTGTTCTTACCTATGTTTGAAAAGTTGTGTTTAATGGTAAATGTACTGTACTTACAGTATATAGCAATTGATCGGGTCTTTTCGTCCCTCAAATACTACGAGTCATTCACACATTCACACCTCATTCATGCAGAGCAGTATCACTTGCTGTAGGGAAGCAAACATTCAAGTTTTTGGTCCGACAAATGGTTCTGTCAACAGTTTAGGACTGTGATCCACTGTCTTCTGAAACATGTAAATGCTGTAAAACTGCACGTGTCTCTCTACAGGAAATATCCACATGTACACCAACCAGGGCGCCTCCTACTCTCAGTTCTATCAGCCTCGTCGTCGACGTGCTTTTGAGAGGCGCGAGGAGGTGGTGGTGGAGGAGAACCAGAGTCAGGTCAGTGACTCACAAGACAGAAAGACTAACCACAGCAAGCTCTTCTTGTGAATATCCTAATTATTAACATGCACGGGCAAAAATTGCACTTTTGGGAGATCCATTTCAACATGGCTGGTGACAGATTCCTATAATGATTGATTTCATGTCTTTCATTTATTTTCTTCATCACGGAAGTGCCTTTTTTTTGCATGGTGCTTCAAAGACATACGTTCTGTGCTGGCGTGAATCAGTGCAGCCTACATGCAGTATTATATGCTTTGTAATCTGCTGATTTCATCTTCCCACAGAACACCTTCACAGCGCTGCTGCAGCTCCTCCCTGTGCTGGTGCTAATCCTCATATCAGTGTTTACTCAGATGATGGCCATTAACCCGGCCTTCAGTCTCTTCTATAAGCCGTGAGTGTGCCACAGCATTGACCTTACTTCAATGACACTTCACCAGACCCCTGGGATACTCCACGGTTCACACCATGGTTTTTACTGGACACATTTTAATCCTGTGTTTGGGTTTCAGGGCCATCGGGCTGGTGGTCTCCAGGGAAACGCAGCACATGGGCGTGCCGTACTACGTGGACAAAAGTTTTGACAAAGAGTACAGAGGAGCGGGGCTGGATGAACTAGAGAAAACTATCGAGAACGACTATATCGAGCACCTGCAGAACAGCTGCTGGAAAGAGAAACAGCAGAGTAAGCGAGATACTCATCATGACTTTGAATAAAGTAGATTTAATATCAAGTGTTTTTATATTGTCTCCTGCTATTGTAAGCACTTGCATATATCTTAAAATTGGTCACTGTTAAAGGAAGTGTGTGCAACACTTGGGAAATATGCTTATTCGCTTTAAGAGCCGCAGCCAGAAGCTCCTGCAGTCTCGCTGGTTGCCCAGCAACTGGTCTTACCTAAGAAATAGTCCAGCACATAGACCCCCCCCCAAAGAAAAGCAAATTATACTTCATTTATTGTACTGTTCTAAAACAAACAAGTTAAAGACTGAACCACACCATTTTTGTTCACTAACGTTGAGTGGAAAACCCCTGTACGTACACTCTTAACTGTCCATGACTGCATTTCATTAACTTAAAATGCATATTTCATACCTCATTAATAACCACATTTATACCAACTTTTGGGCAACACACTAAAGAAAATGACTGCTTAAGTTTAACCAAAACGAGCAATAAATGCTAGCCCAATCAGTTGTTAGATTTCTGTCTTAGGTAGATTTGGTTACCCAAACGCGGCAGGGAAGCAACACTGAACATTAAAAAAAGCATAATTTAATTTATATATAGATTAACTATGTTAACTGTATATCTTTAAACGTTATAGTTACGAAATGAAAAGGACACTGACTGACAAGAAGTGGTTGTTGTAAAAAGTAAAAAGCTAGGTGGAATAAGGACAAGGGGTTAGTGGATTAGGAGTTGAAGGAAAGAGTGAAAAGGTGAGTTTTGATTAATTGATTTATGCTAAGCTACGCTAACTGGCTGCTGATTAAATTATATGTAACATACTGACAAGAGAATGATCTTTCTCTTTTCATCTAAGTCTCTGCCAGAAAGAAAGTTATTCTGAATGCTAGTCATACATCTTTCTTTTGCGATCCCGTTCTCCTTCTCAGAATCCGACCTGGCGAACCTCGGGCAGCTGTACCGAGACGAGCGGTTAAAGCAGAAGGCGGAGTCGATGAGGCTGGACAACTGTGACAAACTCCATCGATTGGTCGGGCATCAGAGAGCCAATTGAGGACTGTTTGAGAGGAGAACGTGTTTCTTTGCAGACTTTACAATAACACATTTTATCCAGATGTGTGATTTTAATCTGGCCACTTTGTAAAGAAACCTCTTTTAGGTACAGCGCAGTCGGTGGGAGATTATGCCACTGGAAACAATGTGCCTTCTCTCCTCTTTGATGGTAGAAAATAAGAGTTGCATCAGGTGCAAACTCACTGTGGCAGTGTGATGATGTCTCGGAGCCTTTAAACTTTCTTATAGAAATGGCATGACGCACATATGGGAGTCTCCTTTTGGGGTTATGAAGGCAGTAGTATGTTCACACGTACATGTTTTATTTGTTTAGGTTTACTTGTATTTATTTTGTTGAATGTTTTTGTGTCCTGGCTGAAATTTTTGAAGTATTTATTTATTAGTTAATAGAGTGAATGTTACTTGAGCATCTTGGCTAATCGGTTTTCTATAGGAAGTTCAACAACTTAAATAATACTGTAGTCGTTGGACAAAGCTGAGAGCTTCTTTACTGTAAAGGAAAGGACTTATTATTTATTATTACAGACAAATCAGATTTAAAAAGGAGCTATAATGTGTTTATCTAGGCGATTTGAACTAAATCAATAAGCACAATAGAGTCAAACATGTATCACTAGCACATTTATCTGATTGAGTTATCTTAAAAACATGTCCTTGCCAAAAATAAATAGCTTCCAGCTCCCTGCAGTTCTGCTTGCATTGGTCATTAAGCTTCTGGTATTCAGGAAGTTTCAGTATTTCAGGTGAGGTTAAAGGGTGACTGTTATGAAAAAAGAGGGCCATGTTTTGAAGAATACATTTTGATTTGATTAGATACAGGAAGCTCAATATCTGTAGATAAGCTGGGCTTAAATGTCATGCAATACCTCCATTTCCTAAAACCGTGCACAAGCTTAAATACTTCTGTTCTCAGACAAACATCCGGCCCATATTTTATAAATATTTTATAAATTCTGCACCTTTTCATTTATACAGATGTTTTATAAAGAAGAATCGTTTTGTTTAAAAAAAAAATGTAATCTTAAATCTAACCTACTTAACCGTTGAAATCATGTTTTGAAATTCTACTAATTATCTGTGGACATTAATCGGCCTTCTTCCACAGCTAGGAATCAGAACTTGTCAGATCTTGTCATGAGTAGGATGCTAACTTTTACGAGTTGTTTCTTAAATTTGTTTATCATCCCAACTACATATGATTCAAACCCTGTACAGACATTAACACTTGTTTCTGTTCACCGGCCAAACTGCCTTAGCTGTTACTTTACAAATTATTCAGGTTTATTTCAAGCACTTTTCAGTTGATATTTGATCCTGTGTTCCCTATTGTTGCTGTTGCATGAAACCCGTGTGAATCTTTTATTAGTTGCATATTTATTTTTATTGTGAACACATCTTAATGACAGCTGACACACTAAATGATAATTTGTTAGAATATTCAGGTCCACACAGTAACTCACAAACATGTAAAACCTTTGCCCTGACATGCGGAGGTCAGGTTTTAGGTAGAACACTTGAGGAACACTAAAGAAACCAGTTTTAGGACAAATATACCTGACAATTAAAGATGTAATCAGAATATCTTTTGACCTGTCTGATTTGTTCATTTGTATTTATTTACTCTGCTTGTGACACATATCTGTATGTACATGGATTTTGATACTTAGTGATTATTGTTTAATATCAGCCAAGACTGTAAATAATCTTATAAGAATCAGAGTGATTTGTTTCAAGGTGATCAGGTAGTGAGGGATTTATCCACATACATTTATAATATATTACAAAAAAGCTGTACTAAACATATGAACCACTGCATCTGGAATCACACCTACAGGTAAGCAAGTCCAAAATAAAACGTTTCTGTATATTCATTACAAATAGTTCCCCTCGAACTTCCTTTACTTACTGCATGTACAACTAATATAACTTAACCATGGCCAAGGCCAAATACACCTGGGTTTAATGGAACCATATTATGCTAATCAGGTTCATATTTGTCTATTGTGACGTGTATATGCTTTAATGTTCAAAAAGGTCTTTATTTTTCTCATACTGCCTGTGCTGCAGCACCTCTTTTCACCCCTTGTCTGAAACCAGAGCTCAGTCTGCTCTGATTCATGTCCCGCCCCTTAGCCTATCAATGTGTTGGAGAGTTAGCCAATAGAAGCGTGAGTGTTACGTAGTGATGTCAATACGTTGGGAGAGAAACTTTTTAGCCTTTGCAGACCATACACATGCACAAAAACCTATAAAACACGCAGTGCTTCTCAAAATGTGGTCCGTAAGCGCCCCCTAGTGGTCCGTGAGTATATTGGTAACATTTCACATTTGTGGGAAAAAAGTGGGTCCCATTTGTGTGTGGACGTTACATCAGAAGCAGATATTTTAGGAAACAACACTTTTTAACGTATTTATCTTGTAGTGCTTTCATTCATCTTAACAGTTTCGAGCCACTTGGCTTTCCTGAGAATACCTGCATGCTTTCTCCTACTGACATCCTCAATATCCTGAATGAGGCAAAGCACTTTCGTATTAAAAATTAATAAGGATATTAAATGATTGCAATAAAAAAATTATAATAGGAAATCTCAAACAATATTCCAATGTCACTGATTGTCGCTGACCACCGTTGCATGAAGACTTTTGATTAGATTCAAGGTGGCTGCTGTGGTGTAGTTTGAGTCTTTGGGAAACATGTGTGCAAATTCAAGTTTAACATAGTGGGTTGAGGGCTTTACGACGCTTTTATTGATTATACATCTTAAAATCCACAAAACAGTTCAATGTGATACTCAAAAATACTGAATATGAATTGGTATCGTTTCACAAAAAATACAGCCACAAATGATCTGTGCATTCTTTTTAAATAACACGTAAAATAACAAATCCTCAAATGATTTAATTCCTGCAATTTAAATGTTTAAAATGATGATGTGCCCCCTACACCTCCCTGATTATTCGGGACTTCTATGCAACTCAGACTCTTTGGCCTCTGGTTTCACATATTAGTATCAACATGTCTCTCAAGATCAACCACAATAATCTGAAGTGCATCTCGGCCTCATGAAGGCTTAATTTCAGCCAATTTGCAGGCTATGAGTGACATTTATCTGTTAATACAACCTGAGCACGCTAAATCTAAGTGATCTGCAGGTAGGTGTATGAAAGGTTTGACCTATTCTCTTGCCCCATTGTAATCTGGGATTATACAGTTTGTAATCCATGTCTGACAGTGGAAATGGGCTCCTCCGAAATTCAGTCTACTCATACAGTTTAGAGTGCAAATAAAGTTGAAACTGCATTTTATGCTGAGTGATAATCCATGTAACTGACAGAATAAATTCAGTCGCTGTCACTTTAACTCGGAAACACAGTTGGATAAAACGTCACGGTGTTTTCATTTCTTCATCTTGAGGTCAGCTTCTATGGCACAACGGCGCCCTCTGGTGCCTCCGTCCTGCAGTTCAAGAGAGGAAGACAAAGCCTATGAGTATACATGCAATATATTATACTCATTTCACATAGGGCTGGGCAATAGATCGATATTATAACGATTTTTGTGATTTTTACCCTTAGTTTTGGATATCGTTATATGGAAAAATAGTTTTCTTTTCCCGGTTTTAAAGGATTCAATACACTTTGTATTATTATTTGTCTTTACCCACTAAGTCATTATATATCCAGACAACAATTTCAAATGATTATTTTGTAAATATTTCATGAAAGTCCAAGAGTCAACCCTACAACATCATCACAAAATTAATATTAATGTATTAGTTTAAAAGATATTGTGATATTTAATATACACCATATTGTCTAGGCTTAATGTACCCCTTCAAGATGTTTAAGCCAATCATGAATGAGACAATCATTGAATTGATCTTGAATGAGTTTTCCTTTGGTTTGGTATACAAGGCAGCTCTAGTGTCTGTGTCAGGGGGCAAAAAAGACCAGAAAGAAAAGGTAAAGGCTTTAGGATGGGTACTTACAAAAAGAGAAAGAAGAAAGGCAGGAGAGGACATGGAGACAGTGTCCTGCAGGAGGAAAATTATTTATATCAGAGCTGTGACACAAAAGTGCACTGCAGGTCGAAAGAGAAAGCAAAATAAGGCCAAGAAAGAAACAACAGAGTATATAAGGCAGGAGGAAAGGTTGAAATAAAATGGAAGGCAACTACTTTTGGAACAGATGTCTAGCTGCACTGCTATCACACTACACTTCAGATTTATGTAAGGAACATGCCATCATGTTCAACTCATTAACTGCGTACAATGCGTACTATAGACATACGTTATATATCACACAGGCTCCGCCCTCTACTGGACTCTAGGGGTACTACTCTCTATCTTGCTATGAGTGCATTCACCTACTGAGTTGCATAAACGTAGCCGGCCAATCGGGGCGAGCCTACCTGAATGAGCGCACAGGCCCACAGTATATAAGGCGTCTACGCCTCCCGACCGTCATCCTACAGCCTCTTCAGCGAGCGGCATAGGAAAGACAGGGCCCCCAGGTCGAGGGCTCCGCCTGTGCTTATATAACTAGGGTTACAATACGTGACCCCCCGTTACTGTCAACCATTTCCAAAAGCACATCAGGACACTTAACCTCGCACCTTCCCTTCAACTGTTGGTTTCAGTTCTATCAGCTCGCTATAAAACCCCGAACACTTAAAGTTTGCTTCGGATTGAGTCATCAAAATATTAAGAACTACTCATAAAATATTTATGTTACCATGTTTCAACAATACACACTCTACGGGGGCCTTCATTAGGGTTATTTATAGATTGTGTAAAAAAAAAAGTCCATTTGTTTTGTTATAAAGTGGTAGTACAAATCTGTAACATCAATATCACTTCACTCACACATTATCATGCAAAATTCATGAAATAAAAAGGTGACCAAATGATCATTGGATTCATCAGGCCAATAATCCACCAGTTGGTTTTCATACTGTTGTGGAAAAACACGGGGAATATTAACGTTAAAACTTACTGTACACTTTGGTTAATAGTTGTCAGTAATGTTCTTAACAGTATTGCATTATTTCCTACCATTTTCCAGAGCATACATGTTCTGATTTAAAATAAATGTATTGCTTTTGAGTCAACCATTGGTTTGAACCTACAGTGAAAAACATATCGTCTTTTTATAAATAGGATCAAAGATAATCCTCCATAGAAGATTAAAGCCGTTTAAGACCCAAGAATTGTAGGACATAAGATGATGATTATCTAATATATCATATTCCAATTACTTTATATAGACTCTCCTTGCACTATTTATTTTCTATTTATTTGTATTTACTTGCACTATTGTATCTGTTTTATTGTGTTGCACTGTAGGAGGAGCCTGTGGCCTAACTTTTTTCATTGACATATCTAAACTGTAGCTATGTACAAATGACCAAAAAAAGCCTTGAATCTTGAAGGATAAACAAATTGGGACATTGGTGAATTGTTGCATTAAAAATATTTTCACTGTGATGGATTACCCACTATTTGGATTATTCAAGTAACTTGATTTTGGTAGCAAATCAAACCAATGGCTACCTGGAAATACAAAAAAAAAACTAATGTCATGCTTTGGAAAATATCAGGCAGATCTACTTTAGGGTCTTCTACCTTAAAGTCAGCCTGGTGTCTCACCCTTGTCTCTTCTTCAGTACTCTGCTTTTGTCAATATTCTAGTGAAGCACCTTGTCAGTGGAGTCCTGTTTGCGCGTGCTCTCACGGCCCCTCAGGCTCTTGGCGCTGATGCCGGACTCCGACGTCTCCATGATCAGCTGGGTGGCCAAATACTGCTGGATCTGCTCCAGGACGTCGCGCTGCATCTCCAGAGCCATGTGGTACACGTCATGGTCCAGGCTGTTGTACATGACGGCGTTCTGAAACATCAGCATGATGTCCCTCTGGAACTCAGCGGTGGTGCGGATCACACCGGTCTCGATACTCTTTTTAATGGCGGCAAGGTCCATGGGCCTGAAGTGAAGAACAAAGAGGGGGTAGCCTATGATACATGTCAAAAGTACAGTGTACAGCAGCAAAAACAAGTTTGTTAGCGTTCTTAGCGTCTTTAAGGTCCCCTATCGTACAAAATGCACTTTTTGATGTCTTTTATACATAAATGTGAGACTCGAAAATACAACCCTCTCTCTTTTCCTCCGTACCCACATCTCTAAAAACGGGGGTACAACGGAACAGATCCAGATTTGCGTCCGATATGACGTTATATCTGAAATGTGGGCTGGCTTTACGCCCACGGCCCAATCAGAAACGTCGCTATCAGAAACAATGCGCAACGTGTGTTGGACGTAATATGGTCTTTGCTTACATTAGCAAGCATCGCTAACACTCGGAGCTAACGCTGTACTGGAGAGAGTATATGTGTAAAAAAGCAGGATATAAAAAGTACCTTGTGGTAAACCCTTGAGATAAAAAGCATTTGAGCTCCATGCTGTTTCAGAAATAATCCTTGATGTGGTTTGAAACATAATATGGCGTTTAATCACGGCAGCGTTCAGCTGAGCATCTGGGTATAATTCTCCAGCAATTCTCCTCTCTTTTATTTTTAAAGCTACAGAACCAGAATCAGCACTTCTCTAACAGGGCTGAAATAGAGGGTATGAGGCATGGCTAGAATAGTCTGGTGATCTGTTTGGTATTTTGAGCAAAACACTTCATAGACATGTTTTTTTATATATCTGAGACCTATAATATATGCCTAAATATAGTATAATAGGAGACCTTTAAAGGTTTTTTTTGTGTGATGTGTGTATTTAAAGTAATGACAAGGAACTATTCAAAAAGAGGTATAAAGACACAATTCTCAAAAGGTACAGGGATGAAACTGCTAAACCATAACTGTTTATATTCTTGTTTTGTATTCTATTTGTGAATTTGTGTTTGTATGAATTTGTGTATGTACATACATATATATATATATATAAATATATAGACCATTCTCCTAACTTGCCTGTATATATTATATGAATGATTATATAAATTATTCAAGATTATAAGTATACATTTATATTGTATGTTAACATATATTAAGATGTAAAAAAAAAAAGGGAGAAGGGGTCGGATTAAATAAGTGTAAACTTCTTCCGACCCCTTTTCGGACGTGTGATTAGCTAAAGCTTTGTTGTTTATTGATATCAGACAATGATACTACAGATTATTCAATTATTAATTAAATATTTCGTTTTTTTATTGCATTCATTTGTATAGTACTGTATCATGTCTGTATCATCTTTTGTTTCATTTGTATTTTCTTTGGTTTTACACGCTTGAAAAAAATAAAATAAACTAAACTAAACTAAGTTACTTCCCACCTCTGAGTAAACCTCACTCATCGACCTGCTGTGACGCTGATGCTGCTCTCTGTCGCCCCCTGCAGGTTCTCTGGAGCAACATGCGGCCTGGCGTTAGTGTTTGTCTTCCCCTCATTGGTCCACATGATCTCCCTGAAGAGGCAGGGGCTGCTCCGCTGGCCCTCAGCGCTCTTCCACAGCTTCCTCATCCTGCTGGGCATGGCCAACCTGCTGGGTCAGTTCTTCATGTGAACACTGAAGCATTTAGAAGCACCATAAAGGGATATATGAAATAAGGATGTAGATAAATGGAGTGCATAACCACACACGGTGCTTACTATTCCACG